GTCCTTCCTCCTCTTCCTCCCTCCTCGCCGTCCTTCCTCCTCTTCCTTCTCCCGGTCCCTCTTCCTCCCTCCCTCCTCTCTGTCCTTCCTCCACTTCTCCCTCCCCCACCCCTTTGTCCCTCCTCCTCTTCCTCCCTCCTTCCCGTCCTTCCTCCTCTTCCTCCCTCCTCGCCGTCCTTCCTCCTCTTCCTCCCTCCCTCCTCTCTGTCCTTCCTCCTCTTCCTCCCTCCCTCCTCTCTGTCCTTCCTCTTCTTCCTCCTCTTCCCAGATGCGTTCAAGTCAGATCACCAGGAAGCTGTGGGGCTCCAGCAGGAAACTGACTCAAATCTCGACGGAGAGCGAATACAACACCCATGGCGGTGACAACTGACCCCTCCTGGTCTCCAAGCACCTCCCCCCACTCCTCTCCTCACCCGTCATCCATCACCCATCTATCACCAAATGTTTTCTCTCAGTTCCGTCATTCCTTTTGTCTCCAGGTTAGCAGTACCTTTTTTTTTGTTGTTTTTTTTGAGGCTGGAGTTCTGAGAGTCACCGTGTGTGTTTTCAATGCGTTGGACTGACGTACGGCGCTGGCGCCGTGGGTTCACCGCAGAACCTGTTCCAGCCTCGACAAAAAATGTCTCCACTACATCCAAAACGCCGCCATCTTTCTTCTCCGTTTCTTGTCGTTCCTCACATTTAGCTTAAAGCAACACTTATTTTTTAAAAGAAAGGCTATTAATAATTAATATCTTACCTGTTGTAAATGGTTCTGTCAACAACCTCAGTTTGGAGAAACAGTTTAATTCAAACCAGACTGACGAGCTAAAGGCTAGTCTGAGCAAGGCAAAGATCAAAGAGGATCTTGGGATCTTAAAACATCTACAAAGTGGTTCATATAAACACCCAAAAAAGTTAAATCTGGTCCTCTGAACATTAAAAAAAAAAAAAAAAAAAACGAAACAAAAAAAACGTAGAAACGTTTCGTCTCTCATCCTGAGGACTTCCTCAGTCTGAGGTGCTGTTTTCAGCTCAGTCTCTTAAATAGCACCTTCTCAGAGTGGATCAACCAGTTTTGCTGCTGACAACCAAAACCAGCTGCTCACATGATCAAGAAGGACCATCAGCCTAACAATGGATCATTAGCACACTGATGGCTGTTTACTACTCACAGAGGGCTGAGTGATACTAGCAATCACAGCATTGTAAGAGGGGGACAGTTGAACCTGGAGGCTCCGCCCCTGTTTAATGATGGACGGTTTCTTTTCACAAAGATGGCCTCCTTTACTCCTCTCTCAAACCATCGTTCCTCTCTGTCCAGAATGTGCACATCTTCATCCCTGAAAGAGTGACCGCTGGCCTGGAGATGAGTGTAGACCGCAGAGTCCTGGCCTGATGATGTCGCTCTTCTGTGCTGGTCCATCCTTTTGGCCAGTGGCTGTTTAGTTTCCCCGATGTAAGACTGATCACCCTCCTGACACTGAACAACATACACAACATTACTCTGTTTGTGCCGGGGGACTGGATCTTTGGGATGAACCAGTCTTTAATGTATTTTGGGGTTTAAAAGCCACTGGGACGTTATGTTTAGAAAATAAACATCTCAGTTTCTCTGATACTCCCTCAACATATGGAATGACCACTGGTCTGGGTCTGGGTTCCTCCTTTTCACCTGTTGGCTGACTGGAGTCCTGTTTGGGTTTCTTCTCTGCTTTCAGGAAGGCCCAGTTAGGATATCCACATTGCTCTAGAGCCTGTCTTGTGTAGGATTTCTCCTTCTGCCTGGCTCCTGAGTTAGTGGGGACGCTGTCTGCTCTGTGGTACAGAATCCTGATGACTCCTAACTTGTGCTCCAAAGGGTGATGGGAGTCAAACTGCAAATACTGGTCAACTTTTTTGGATTTTTCTACCTGGACTATTGAGCATGCATCAGGATGTTAATATAAACACAGGTTTGTTTGTTTTTTTCACATCAACGTTAAATTAGTAAATAGATTTTTATGGTTTTTCGCACGTTCAGTTAGCAGCAGCAGCTAGCAGTAGCCCTTTCGATGCAGCCCAGCGTACTTCCTACAGGAAGACCATAACTGTTGGAGAAAAAAAAAACATTCTCAAAATTCTGACTTTATTCTCGGAAATCTGACTTTAATTTTAGGATTCTGACTTTAATCTCAGAATTCTGATTTTAATCTCAAATTTATGAAAAAAAATTTTCCCCCAGAATTGAGGGGGAAATATTTGCACCGTGGCCCTAATCCTCTTTCATAGGATTAAGGCCATGATAAAACAAAAACAAAAAGTTTTATGTATTTTTTTTTTTTTTTTTTTTTCTGAATTTTGAATTTTAACATTTTGAGATTAACGTCAAAATTTGGACTTTAATTTTAGAATTCTGAAAACTTTTTTTTTTCTTTTTTCCAGTGGCACTAATCCTCTTCTATATGTATAATAGTATAAACGTGTAACAAAATGTCATAAACCTTTACAACACACATTCTCATTACACAATCATTTACATCTAATTTTATGTTTAATTTCAAGCAAAAACAAAAGTAAAGGCAGCAGCCAGCTGTGGGCACTTCCTGCAAAGTTCTGGGGCACTTTTGGCAAAATAAAAGTTATATATTCATATATATCATGAAACATTTATTGGTTGTTTTTAGATGATAGAGATAGACTCTGGTCTTGGCCTCATGGACTAGCAATTAGCTCATCAGTCTACTTAGAAGTAAGCTCTATATTTCCAATATGGAGGTTCAGAAAGCTATCTACAACAGGTAAGATATTGTTTGTAACCTTTCCACGGAGCTCCTTATTAAACAACACAAGCATCACTTTAACTTCAACAGATCTGACAACTCTGTTCCTCTGAAGCTTCTGGTTCGAGTGGCCTCTCGTTTTCTCGGTTCCGCTAAGTTTTTGTACGAAGGGCGGGGCCGTTTCCGCTGAGACTTTCCTCGGTTGCCTCAACGCTGCTGCCATGCAGCCTTATGCAGTAAAGACGTCAACCACAAGACCAAGCTCTCTGCCTTCTCTAAGCTTTTTTTATCTAAAAATTCAACTTTTTTTTAAGTTATCTGATAAACAACATTCATATTTGGCGTTATCGTCAGGATTCAGCTCTGATGGAGAAGTCGGGTATTTGTCTTAATTTAATGTTATTGTTTTCTATAAATAAAACACTATAAACAGTAAAACGCTACATTATCAAACAAAATCTGAGAGAAGAGCACCTCTGTGCTTCACTGAATGTTTTAAAGTTACTTGAATCAGTTTTATTTATGAGCAGCAGCTTTAGTTTTGAGCCACGTATCGTCTCTTGAAGGCACATTTGAAACACTTCTGACTTTTCGCACTCGCGAAAAACGACAAAAGAATTATTTAAGGGCTTTACGAGATGTCGTCGTTAGTAGCAATACTTGGTGCGCTTGTCCGTTCGTCGCCGATCTCGGGTCTTCCTGCCGTTTGACAGCTGCTCGTCAACTCCTCCACGTCTTGCTCTGTCTGCTCATCGTCTGGTTGAGGTTAACGCGCCTTGTTTAAGTTGCGTAGGAGATTTTGTGTGTTCTGCACTAAGAAGCAGCTATGAATTATTTTGCACCCATTCCAAATTTTCCATTTCATTTCTGCTTGATTCTGTGAACCCGATCGCTCTGTTTTATTTAAAAATTACTGCAAAATGTCTGTGCTTTTTTTAAATTTTTTTTAATACTTCTTCGTATTTATCCTTAATACACACGACCACTGTTTGAGTTGCTCCACGACTGCAACAAACGGAGTGCCTTTACCCCAGCTAACGCTCAATTTCTGTCGTTATTAAAGCCAAACGTCTCCAAACACCACCTGAAGGCAGCATTCCACGTGTTCAACGGGAACCGATAACATAGGACTAAAACTACAGAAAACTAAACCCCAAGCTACATTTTTTTGTCTTCGCTGCATCCTTTGTGACTGTCACCAAATGGATGTGTACATCTGTGATTATTTATGAATACAGTATCTATCTATATATATGATGTACAGCATGATTTTTATTTTATCGTCCTTTTTTTTTGCACTTTCCAGGTACTTAATTTTTAACGAGTTGTTTTAACTAGGCTCTCTGAATCTGTACAAACTGCTTTGTATACACATGTGGAAAATTATCATTAAAGTCTTGTCTAAATTGAGAAAAGACTCGTCTTCCCTGTCATCAATTTAAGAAAAAGAAAAAGGCACGAGTGAAATGCAATATTTATTTAAGGAGAAACAAAAGATGTGGTAGGTATCCCAAACTTTTTAAACGTTTTACTGGATGTTGTGCATCAAGTCTTGTTTCTCTGGTTTTTCATGCAGAGACAGGATAGGAACAGATGGACGCCCTCTTTAGCTCACAGTCAGCCGCTGTCCACCATCTCTCATCTGAAAATGTGAGTAGGGACAGAAATATTCAAAACAAGTGGCCGAAAACACGCCGAAGAGCTTAAAGCAAGTTTATTTTGTAGTACATCAACTGTCTATGATGCTTGGTCTGATGTGTAAACTTGAAGTGGGGTTCTCTGGGAAGGTTATGAGCAGTTAATATGCTACCTGCTTCAGATGGCTATTTGAAAGACCTAAGTTTAGTCAAAGCAGCCAAAGTAGATTAAGTTAAAAGAAACTCAAATAATTTACAGCAGTTTTACCAACTTTCACATTGCCGTCAATTTGTATTATTGACATATACTTTTATGCTAAATTGGGAGATCAAATAACTTGCAGGTACAAATACAGCTAGCTGCTAATATTAAACACAGCTAACTGATAGCAGTTACCAGTTGCAGCTAGTAGCTAGCACCAGATACAGCTAGCTGTATGTATGTAGCTGTATCAAGTGCTAGCAGCTAGCTGTAGCAGTTCATGTAACATTAACAGTATTATCATTATATTAATCACTATGAATTATTTTTTTTTTTTCTTTGAGAGGGAGTGGTGGCGCAGCGGTTAGAGAAGGTGGACCTGTGATCAGAAGATCGTTGGTTCAACTCCTGGAACCGACGACATCAAAATGTGGGTGGGATAGATGAAACACCCACACCTGCCTCCACCCTCATTTGCCCCACTCTGAGCCCTTGAGCAAGGCCCCTAACCCCCATCATCTGCTCCCCCGGGCGCCCAGCTCTCACTGCCCCCCCACAGAGGGCTGTGGTAGCTCAGTGGTCTGGTTGCATCAGGAATGGCATCCAGTTTAAAAATAATTGGCAAGTCTTTGTGCGACTTAGATCGCTGTGGCTACCTCTGAGGAAGGGAGCAGCCGAAAGAAGAAAGATAATGGCCCTAGTTAATTCAACCTTTATTTATACAGGTTGCTAGTGCTGGTTAATCCTAACCTAGCCATTAGTTATTAGCCATATTTAAAACATGCACACTGGAAATGCCCCAGGCTGCACCATAGGCTATTGCTGCTGCTACTTGCACTTGCAAATAACCATCAAATCTGGTGTAACAGAAAATTGATGACAAAATAAAGTTTTTGAAACGGTGTTTACACCAGCAGGAGTTTTTTGTTTGTTAGTTTGTGCTGCTATCTTAAAACAACTTCAGTCTAATTTGGTTTCAAACGATCTATTAGCTCAACAGTCTGGTGAGAATTAAACTCACCTGAGGTCTTTCAAAAAGCTATCTAGTAAGATAGAACCTTTGCACAGAACCCCACTTGAAAAGAGGTATGCTCATTATGCTTAGGTGCGTAAATACTTAAGATATGTAGTGAAAGGACTTCATACCTATCTTGAACATCTCAACACAGACCAGTTTTTCTGTGTGAATGTTGGGGTGACCCGGCATCCAGTCGGTGTAACTCCATTCTGACCCATCAACCCATGAGGCCTGCTGGTTCTGAAGTGTGTAGCATATACACAATATTAGGAACCAACCCTTGTTGATGCAACTAACAGAACAGAGTAGATGATAGTGTCCAGTATTTATCTTGTAAAGAAGTAAAAATATTCATATCCTCTCAAACATCGTTTTATTACAACACATTTTCAAATATGTTCTGGCCTTTTCTAATAACTGGACAAACTGTTTTAACATTTCCATGTAAAAGTTTAAAGGTCAGGGTTTTACCAAGGTAAGGATAATACTATCAGTCATGTTGATAACGTATCTGATTGCTATCTCCTTGGTCTCCTTGTGGTGCCACAGTACATGGCCATTCTTTCATCACGGCCCGAGTCCTTGAATTAAAACTTTCCCTGGACTCACTTTTTCAGAGGTTTGAAAAGAAATAACCTCGTAGTAGTTTCCATTACTGCTTCAATGGTTTATACGTTCAGATTCCCCATTTCAGAGTGAGTATCAAAAATACTTGCCTTAACTGTGGCTCCCAACCAGGTCAACACAGGGTTACTCTGGCCATCGTTGGTCACCAGAGAAACCAGACTGGAATGCAGGTCACTGTTTGTTACAGATGCAAGCTCAGCTTTTGGAGCAAGATTTCTGCATAAGGCCTGTAAAACAACAACCATAAAAGCCCATGATGTAATTTTAACAGGAGGTCAGTCAAAGGACACATGGGCAATGTCATGAAGAAATTAAAAAAATATTGACAGAACTTTCATATGCCTTGCAGTAACAGTGGTCTAACCTGGGCATCTTTGAAGGCCAACTGCAGTGGGTTAAACTGGTAGCATTTATTGTTGATGATCTTGCCCGTACAGGTCGCTGTCTGCGTTTGAACTCTGGCAATGGAGGGTTCTGTTCCCTGCCTGAAGCCTAAAGGGATTTCCATTTTTGGCTCTGTTCCCTGTCTAAAACCAGCTGGAATCCCCATTTTTGGTTCTGTTCCCTGTCTGAAACCAGCTGGGATCCC